AAAAAAAAAAAAAAAAAAAAAAAAAAAAAAAAGGGTCTCAGTATGGAGGTTCTCACCACAGTTTCGATCGTACCTCGTGCTGGTAAATAAAATGCAGAAGAGCAGGGGTGACTGCCCACCAGCAAGAGGGTTGGATTAAGCTCCTGAATCTGGATGTGTTTTACCCAGAGATGCACAACAGCAGTTCAATCTGGATTTTTGGCACCTTGCCACAAACGCATCCACATGCAGGTGTTCACCGCAGGTACCTTTCACTGGAAATGGCAACATGTATAAAGTACTATAGACTTAGTATAAAGTTTAAATATAAAGTTTAAACAAAACAAATTGGACTGGGCTGTTTGCAGTTCTCCAGGTGTGTATGCCCTAAGAACGTGGTTGTTCGTTCAATCAAACGAAAAAAAAAGGGACAATGATTGGTACCTGAAACACGGTGGGTTATCCACGGACATTGTTTCATATGAATCATCCTTCAGCCTTAAACCGCCAGAGAAACAGCCTCAGCCTTGCAGAAAATGAACTCGTCGCACCACAGCAACTTTCGTGGCCGGGCCGCCGTCGATAAATTTACACAGTGGCCTTTGTCCCATTTCCGGCCTCCAAAATTTGCGGTGAGGGGCCTGCGGGCGTTGTATGGGCCGTATGCTGGTGGTTTCAAGTGCGAAGACAACACGACAAGAACTCTTTGATCGGAAAAAAAAAAAAAAAAAAAAACTCTCTGCACCTGTGTTGCCAATCATCCGATTGGTCGGACGTCTCCGACAGGGGAGCTGTCTGGGATTGTGGAGAACTCACTTCTCGCTGATCGGAAAGGGGGAAAAATAAAAAATTGGGGGGTTCTGCACACCCCGAGGACACCCCATTTAAATTAAAAAAAAAAAAAAAAAAAAAAAAAAAAAAAAAATCAGGTCATTTGGACAGCAGTAAAATCAAATGGGGAAACAGGTTTGGGGGGGGTGGTGTTGGATGTTCCACTGCTGCAGCAGGTGCAGCAGGCGCAATGGCTGCTGCCTCATCTACAACATTTGCAGCAACTGCTGCAGCTGCCGCAGTTGCAGCAGCAGATGCTGCAGATGGAGCCGCTGGTGTCGCTGCAGGTGATGCAGATGCAGCAGCTGCTGTTGATGCAGGTGCTGCAGATAAGGCATCTGCCGCTGCAGGTGCTGCAGATGCAGCAGCTTCAGATAAGGCATCTGCCGCTGCAGGTGCTGCAGATAAGGCATCTGCTGCTGCAGGTGCTGCAGATGCAGATAAGGTAATCTGCTGCTTCAGCATGTACAGCAGCTACAGCAGAGGCTGCAGGACTTGCCAAAACAAAAGAAGCGGCGAAAATAAAAAAGCCGTGAAAATTTATGGAGTTTTCTTTTTTCACACCACAATCTTTAGTGTTTTTCCTTTTTTTTTTGATAAATTCAAAGCCATGACAAAAAAAAAAAACTGAGTCCCAAAATAAAAAGAAACAGGGAAAAGGAAATAAAAAAACATAAATAACGACTCAGAGAGCATGTTTTCTACACCAGTCATAATCCAGGTGTATACTCAAGTGTACTCAACCGGGCATGGTAGCTCGTATACAGTCAGTCATAATCAGGGTGTGTTGTGCTGGAGGGAATACGACCGTCTCTCCCCGGGTGGTAGCGGTGTCTGCTCTTATCAGCATCACTATCACCAGTGGGGGGTGTTTTGTTTTGGAAAAAAAAAAACAAAAAAAACAAGAGGGAATATGACCGTAATATGGTAACATGGAGATTGCATGTAGACGATGCATCGTCTTGGCATTTTGTGAGGAAAAAAAATGGGAAAAAAAAAGCATCGTCTTTTTACATCCTCACACCACCAGTACCTCCTAAAAGTCCTCCGCGTTAACTGGCCTGGCTTTTGGGATGAACAGGCCTGGGCCGGTAGCCTTGATTCAGCCAAGTGGAAACGGCGAGATTTCCACTTTTGGCTGGCCGTTAACGCGGAGCACTTTAAGGAGGTACTGGTGGTTTAAGAATCAAGTTAAGATGTTGCATTTCCTTTCTGCAACGTGGATTATGGGACTCGCCACACCATTCACAAAACAAAAAAAGAAAAGAAATACATGTGTATCTTTTGGCAGAACGTGGCAAGATACATCCATTAAAGCACCAGTACATGCCCCCGGCCAAATTAATAATCCGATTGAGCCTGTTCCTAAACTTCTGGAGGGTCGGGACAGGGTGTCCAAAGACCCAGTAGGAAAAAAAAAATTGTCCCATGCCGTGGGGTGGCGCTACGCCCAGCCCTGAAACAAAAAATAATAATAATAAAAAAAATCCGCCCACCCCCGGGCTGATCCTGTCCCGAGGCCCCTTGCTTTTTTTAGGAAAGGCTCATTTTTTCGAGTTCTCCAAATGTACTGGTGCTTTAACAGATGTGTATCTTGCGACCACCTATGGAGAGATACGCCCGTATCTTTTGGCTTTCGTGGGCGGTTTGCCAACGCCTTCTGCGCCTGACGTCTGTGTGCGTGAATGACATCGACTCGTGGACATACGGCCAAATTTGGAAGCATACATTCAGTATTATTTACCCAGGTAGGACAGGAGGAAAGAGAGGAGAGGAGTTCAAAACCCTCTTGCACCTTGTTCCCTTTGGAGACGACAAAGTGAAAGCGCGGGTGCGCCGAAGGAAGACAGTGCTTCAAGGTCTGGCAGCCCTTTCGCCAGCGACTGCTATCTAGGAATTCATCGCCTGCCGGCGTGCCTGATGATCTGATGTCCCTGATGCTGCAGCTAAGGAGGAAAGAAGTTTGCTTGGCTTCTGCAATTGCCGCTTCTTTGGTTAAGTCGAATCAGAACCTCCTCCCTACCCACCGCTTCCCCGCACTTCTTTGGTTAAGTCGAATCAGAACCTCCTCCCTACCCACCACTTCCCCGGGCTTCTTTGGTTAAGTCGAATCAGAACCTCCTCCCTACCCACCGCTTCCCCCCTCCCCTGGCAACCCACCCCAACCACCTGGCCCCCTCCTTGCTGGGACCCCCAAGTAACCCCCCCCCTCCTCCATCGACTCCATCTCGAGGCTTCTCCCTGTTCTCTCTTGTGCATCGCCTCCGTTTCTCCTTGATGGCCCCCCCTCTTTTGAGGCTGCTCCCTCTTCTCTCTCCTGGGTTGCCTCCCCCTCTCCCTGATGAGCCCCCCCACCAGACCCCCACTCCTCCGTCGACCCGTCTCCATAGTGCTCTCTCTGTCCTTTCCTGGCTGATCTCCCCCACTGCCGCAAGGAGCCCCACCCCACTACCCCCTCCCCGCCATTACCCAGGGACATTGCTGGTCCCTCACCCACTTCCCCACGCCCAACCCTTCCATGACATGGAGAATGCCGTGCAGGCAGGAAAGAGCAGAAGTGTGAGTGGAGCAAATGCATGAGGTACAACGGGAAGGACACTCGGCTAAACCTGGAAAACAGTGTTCTGCAGACAGCAGGGCCCCACTTGGAAAAACGTTCAAATACAGATGATGGAAACACCTTCGAATAAGGGGATCCAAAGGAAAAGGAATTGGGTCGAGGAGAGGTGTAATGAACGGATATGAGAGTGACTTGTGCCGTATCATATGACCTCTCTCTCTCTCTCTCTCTCTCTCTCTCTCTCTCTCTCTCTCTCTCTCTCTCTCTCTCNCAAAGAGCTGGGGAGGTGAAGAAAAAAAAAAAAAAAAAAAAAAGTGGTGGATTGTACGATCGACCCATCCTTCCTTCCTCTGCAAAAGACTGAGCCTGTCTCTTATACACATCTAGATGTGTATAAGAGACAGCACACACAGCGTGATGTGTTCCGTATCATATGACCCTCATGGATTCGTCACACACACACACACACACACACACACACACACACACACACACACACACACACACACACACAGACAGTGACAGTGATTTGCGCCGTATCAGCATTTACAAATCCTCAACAGTATGGCAAGGCAGTTCAAGACAAGAAATTTTTGTTTCCACAAAGAACAACATAGATTTGGCTTCACCAAAATCTGTATGTTTTAAGGTAGACGTTTGTCTTCAAGAAGAAGAACATGGACTTGGCTTCACCCAAGTAAGTATTTTAAGGTAGAGATGCCGCACAGCAGTACCAACACTGCCAACCCTTCCCTCCCTCACCCCTGGGTTACATTACCCGAGCACTTGCCCTCTCCGATTTTGTTACGATTTTTTTGTCTTCTTCTTGTTCTTCATGTCTGCCAGCAGCTGCGGCATTTGCTCCATCAACTCCTTTGTTTTCTCTCGCTTGGCCTGAGCAATGCGATCCACCTTGTGACCCTTCACTCTCGTCTTCATCTCCTTGCGAGGCTTATCGTAGGGCCATTCTTCTCCAACAAGCAAAACTTGCCTCCGCACGCGCGCGATGTTTTTCGCTGACATGTCCGTTCCGACAAACTTGCCATTGAACCAAGTTGGTTTGACCTTCGCTGCTAGTCTCTTTAAACCTGCCGCCAATTGAGCTTCCGCAGACACCCACATCCTGGCTCTTGAAGCAACTTCGCCTTCGGCAGAATCACCTGAACCTGTCTAGCACCACAGACGACCCATTCTGCCGTCAAAGAACCACAACAGACCGCAATCGCCTCCCTCCTTCCCTCCTCACTCCCTCCCTCCCTCCTGAACCTGACCAGCACCACAGACGACCCATTGTGCCGTCAAACAACCACAACAGACTGCAACCGCCTCCCTCCCTCCCTCCCTCCCTCCCTCCTGAACCTGACTAGCACCACAGAGGACCCGTTGTGCCGTCAAAGAACCACAACAGACCGCAATCGCCTCCCTCCCTCCCTCCCTCCCTCCCTCCCTCCTTCCCTCCCTCTTTCCCTCTCTCTTTCCCTCCCTCCTTCCCTCCCTCCCTACCTCCCTCGCTCCCTAACCACTCAAGTTGTTTGGCAGCTCCACCAATCTACAAAAGCCACATTTGCACACTAGATCACCGAATTGAAGGATATCGATGAAAAAACAAAAAAAAAGGTTCAAAATTTTTCATTCTTTTAAATCTTTTTAGTTCAAAATTCAAATTGATTCAAAGCAACCCATAAGAAAATGTGCAACAACATCAAACTGCAGGCAGAGGTCCAAAGTGGAAAGCACGCAAAGTTCACAAACTGTCTTTTCTTCAACAAGAGAAAAAGGAGGACACTTTCTCCCCCCCCCCCCCCCCCACACACACACACACATACACACACACACAACCAAGCAGACACACGTCCAAGAGGAGGAGGAGGAAACACTCTCGTTTCTCTTCCGTGAACATAATGCCCAGACAGAAAACACCCGGAATGAAATTAAGGGCCATGATGACAAGCCAAGGAGAGACAAGGTAAGACGCGTATATACACATAGTGCACAAGTGCCAAATACAAAATATACCCAGACACAAAACAGTTGAAAACACCTCGTAGGACACAAACAGCCATGATGACAGGCCAAGGAAAGACAGCGCCTGCCTATACCTCAGCCTGCACTACCTTTGAAAAAAAAAAAAAAAGTAAAAAAAAAATGGAGAAGGAAAGACAAGGTAAGATGCGTATTTACACGTATAGCCCATTAAGTGGCGAATACAACGCTCCGGGGCACTTTGCCATAAGTGCAACTCCATCCACTAAGCTTTGATCACACAGCATTGACAAGAACTGTGCGGTCACACACGATCCCCCTCTTCTTTCTTACAAGTTACTTAGCAATTTTTGTCGATGTAGAGCCAGATTGATACCCGGAGCCAACACAACGGAATCGAACCGGTGACGTCGGTCATAACAGCCAGGTGCCTTGCCAGGTGCCTTGACCACTGCAACTGCAACTCGGTGTTCAAAACTGAAGCCATGCCAGTCGTGACATTCAAGCCCAAGCCCAAGCCCAAGCCCAAGCCCACCACATTTTCTCAAAAAGATCCAGACTGATACCCGAAGCCAACACAT